TGGTCGTGGGGCCTGAACTCTGGGCCTGGGCGCTGTCCCTCAGCTCTTCAGCTCAAGGCTAGCGCTCTACCACTTGAGCCACAGTGTCACTTCCGGCTTTTTTCTTATGTGGTGCTGAGGAATCGAACCCAGGGCCTCATACATGCAAGGCAAGCGCTCTACCACTGAGCCACCTTCCCAGCCCTCCTGTCCCTCTCTATATTAAGGTCCACCTGTTCTACCTGAGCAGTAGCTGCCCTAGCTACTCCTTCAACCTTCTACTTGGTTCCCTGCTCTCACCAGAATATGGGCTTTGCCCTTCACCAAGAAGAGCCAGACTCTCAGCCTTGAAGCCCTCAACTTCCCATCCCACAGCCCATGGCTGAAGTGGACAGTAGCATGGTGGTTGTAGGTTATCAGATTTCAGACGTAAAGTGGGTTGGGGACAGATGGCTCTGGGACCACACACATTTTCTAATGGCTCATGAGTAAGAGTCAAGAGTGTCTTAGATGGCATTCAGGCCCAGGGCACAGGCAGGAAGAGGAGGGTTAGAAAGGATCACTTTGGAGAAAGTTGGGTTGTGGGTATAATTACACTCAGTCCTCACTAGGGGGTTGGGAAAAGCAAGTCTCACTTCTAGTCAAAAGATGACTGTGGATCGTCATTAACATTTGGCCCTAGAGTCTGGTGATGTGGTAGCCAGCACCTAACCTGCACCTGACAGAGCCCAGGCAAAAATGGCAGGGGTGGGGAGGGGCAGAGATACCAACTCCCTATCGCAGAGCCAGGGTGCGTGAGCCAGCTCCCGGCTGCAGAGCTGGGCTGTATGGGAGCTGTGGATTTCACCAAGGGACAGCCAGGCTGGGGCTGCTTGAGATGAGGAAAACACAAGGCCCTTGGAAGGGACAGGACAATGTTCCCCAATCGAGTATCTATATGAGTGACCAGAGGAGAGCCTGCCACACCTGCCATGCCCAGAGAACGCAGCACTACTGGAGGCCAATGCTAGCTGATGAAGAGCAGTCCTGCTGGCCTACCGCTTCCCCTTCTTCCTGCTCAGCTCACACAGGATCTGACCCCAGAGCTCCTGGCTCAGGTGAGGGGGTGAGGAGCAAGAAGGAAGGCTAGCATGAGGTTCTCCCTGGTGGCTGGTCCCCGTTGGGGGGCGGGGGGGGGAAGGGAGGCAGCTTGTGTTTGAATGACGTTGGCACTTTGGCTGTTATTTGAGCCTGGAGATGGGTACATTGAGAATCGACATTGATTCTACTCCCCCCCTTCCTCCCCCCAACCCACAGCTCAAGTGGTCTAGTTAGGGTTTCCACCATGGACTTCTCTGAAATTTCCAAAGCCTGCTGGTCCTCTCCAGCGGCACCCCTAAACCAAATGTGCCTTCCTCCACGCAGGTACCTTTCCTCTCAGCAGGTGGGGGCATACTGGAAGCACCCCTCCCCCCTCTTTCCTTCCCCTCCCCCCCCACGTGCATCAACATACTTCCTGACATCATGTCTCAGTTCTCCTATCGCTCCTCTCACATCTGAACCCTTGTAAAACCAGAATTCAAACACTACGATTCAGTCCTTGTTACTTCTGTGTATGTGAAATACAAGAGAGACCTTGGTTCAAACAGCTCTTTCGGGTGGCCCTGAGGCTTGGTTTGGCACAGAGCATCTTTACCTCCTTTCTCAGCAGGAAGCAAAGATGGAAAGAATGCTTCCCTCAACGGCCCTGCGAAGGTCTAGGTCAACGCCGACCCTGCGGGCTGCTGTGGTCCTGGAGAAGACTGGCGTCACGTGGTTAACCCACGACCCTGACACGTGTAAGCTAGCGAAAGGTTGTTACCTTCTTAGGAAACATATGGATCTAAGAATTCATGATGGCCAATCCCTTCTTGACTGCACACGATACTGTTCTAAAATTAATACCAATTTCTGACTCCTGCCTCCCACTGATGCCTTAATAGCCCTTCCCCGTTGACTTTCGGTTCTCAGCCCTTATCGGGCTCTGCTTCAGCCTGGAACTCACTTTTCTTAGGTGATCCTATATTGTTGATTTGGGTAGATAGCCCTTTGTGTGTCCCCACATTTCCAATGTACATCTCTACCATCACTTTTACCATACCGTTGTCTCTTAAAGTATCTATATTCACTATTAGACTGGAATTCTGTGTGTGTGTGTGTGTGTGTGTGTGTGTGTGTGCGCACGCGCGCGTGTGCGCCAGTCCCAGGGCTTGGACTCAGCGTCTGGGCATTGTCCCTGAGTTTTTTTGCTCAAGATTAACACTCTACCACTTGACCCATACTTCCACTTCTGGCTTTTTGGTAGTTAATTGGAGATAAGTGACTCACAGATGTTCTTACTTGGGTTGGCTTTGAACTGCGATCCTCAGATCTCAGCCTGCTGAGTAGTTAGGATTACAGGGCATGAGCCACTGGCACCAGGCTAGGCTGGAATTTTTGAAGTAAAGACTATGCCAGATTCAGTTCTGTTTATGTGGAAACTAACACAGCATGAAACACACAGCAGGTAATGATATCAAGTTTGTGAATGAATAAATGAACAGTACCTTCCGGTCTTCCAGATCGATTTTGTTCCCCAGCACCACCATGGGGTAAGACAGCTCCGTGGGGACAATCTTGGCTAGAACATCACCCCGCCAGATATCCAGGGCTTCAAAGGACTCCAGGTCCGTGACGTCAAATGCCAGGATGCAGCCATCAGAACCTTTGTAGAATGTGGACACCATGGAACGGAACCGTTCCTGACCGCCAGTGTCCCAGATCTAGAGGGGGAAAAACAGCCAGCCCATGGAGCTGTGAGGACTGCCTAGAGAGAGGTCCAGGCAGGTCACGTGATACAGAGTCTCCCTTCTGTGGGTAGAGAAAGCCCTGGCCTAGATGCATACGGGCTTTCTCTCCGCCTGCAAGCAGTAGAACCTAATATCCTGCAAGTGCCTTCACCTCTCCCACCTCCCCCACCCCCCTATCCCCTACTCCCGTCCTGGGACTTGAACTCAGGGCCTGGGTGCTCTCCTAGAGTTTCTTTCACTCAAGACTAGTGCTCTACCACCTGAGCCACAGCACCACTTCCAGCTTTTTTTGTGTGTAGTTTAGTGGAGATAAGAGTCTTGTGGACTTTTCTGTGCAGGCTGGCTTCGCACTGCAATCCTCAGATCTCAGCCTTCTGAGCAGTGAGAATTTGAGGCATGAGCTCCAGCACCCGGCTGTGTCTTCACTTCTGAATTCTCATTTTCCTTTGGAGTTATCAAAGTGGGGGTTCTCCTGCCCACAGGGCAGACCTGGAAGCTCGGGCTTTGCCCCCAAGTACTGCCAGGTCTTCTGGGGGGGGGGAAGAATTAAATCTCCTAACTCTAGAATGAGTCATCTTCCTTCTAGATCAGACCCTAACACATTTGGTTTTCTGCAAAGAACCAGATGATAAACACATTTGACTAAACAGGCCATAGTTAAGTCAGTGGGTGTGGTTATGTCTCAAAGACCAGGTTTGGCTCATGAGTTGAAGTTCACTGTTTCCTGTGCTAGACCCCTCGAGATCCCAGGGCATTTTGCTATGCAAGGTGGGCTATCCAGGGGGTCATTGTCAAGTGTGTTTAGGTTAAATTAGTTAAATTAGGTTAAATTAGTCTGGCTCACCTGGAGCTTCAAGGTTGTGTCGTTCAGTGTGATGGTCTTGGAGAGGATGCTGGCGCCTAGCGTGGTCTGATATTCCTCATAGAACATCTTGTGCACATATTGGTGAAGGAGGGAGGTCTTCCCCACCCTGAGGAAAAGCCCCAGCCAGGAGGTAAGCTCACATGTCAAACACACATGTGGACCCATAGCATGCTGAGTTGGCAAGCCCACCTTTGAACTGCTGTCTGTCTTTGAGATTCTGACTTTCTAGCATCAGTGGTCCAGGGACCACACATGGAGAAGCAAGGATCTAAGAGATGGTTTCTGGAAGCAGAAACCAATCAGACTGAGCAGAGAAGTTTAGAGAGGGCTGACTATTGCAGAGCGATGCTTAGTGCCTGCCTGGGTATGCAGTTAGGAGGGCACCAGGGACAGAAGGGCTCATGCAGCAAGTTACCGCCAAGCTGGGACACGCTTGTTTTTCTCCCAACCAAGCTTTGTCCTGGAGCAGGGATGCACTTTTTAGCGGGGTAGGGAGCGGGATGGCGGCCCAAGGGGATGTTCTTTGGTTCCTTTCCTGGCTCAGAACTGGGGATGGTAAGTAAGAGCTCCACACCAGAGCTGAGCGTGACTTACCCAAGTGCTCCGACAATAATGAGTTTCAAGTCCACTTTCTTCCGGGGATTCATGAAGAAGGAGCTTCAGAGCCTGTAGAGAAACGGAGGACATTGCCATACCAGCCGTGGTCACTGAGGCCGGCCCTTCTCAATACATAGGTCTCTGCTCTAGGCCCAGGACCCAGGTGGAGCTATTCTCAGAAAGACCCCTCCCCCCATCCAGCAATCTTTTTATACCCTCCTTTTTCTTCCCTTGGTAATCTCCTCAAGGCTGGAAGGCCTGCGATCCCAAAGGACAGGCAAATCACTCACCCTTTGCTCTCAGCCCTGCTCTGGGACAGTCTGGAGCACCAAGAAGGCAGGGCGAGATGGAGCAGGGGCCTGCAGACAGTCCAGCCTGGAGCCAGGGGTGGAGGGCCGGGCAGGAAGAGGCAGGATAAAGGCTGGAGGCTGTGCCCTCCCCGCCGCTGAGGTGTGGATACAACTGCAGAATCAAAAGTCTCTTCTCTGCTGCAGCTGGGGGGAAGGGGATGGGTTGGTGTTTCTAGAAAGCTACTTGGCAGCCAGTGCTGAGAATCTTAAAAATGTTCCTGCCTTCTGCTTCTAGGAATTTGTTCTAAGAAGATAATACTAATCGAGAACAAAGAGTCTTGTTCAAGAACATTCTTTACAGTATTGCTTGTAGACATGTGTCAGTAAAGAAGGGGTTAAGTCATGGCACACAATGAATGAAGCAGCCATTACCATGTCCTAGCTGGATGTCTGAGACTCACGCCTGTATCTTAGCTACTCAGGACACGGAGATCTGAGGATCGTGGTTCAAAGCCAGAATAGGCAAGAAAGTCTATGAGAATCTTATTTCCAATTAACCACCAGAAAGCTGGAAGTGGAGCTGTGGCACAAGTGGTAGAGCAACTAGCCTTGAGCACAAAAGCTCAGGGATAGGCTCTGAGTTCAAACGCCAGCATTAACACCCTAAAAACTTATAAAAGAGGTCCTAGCAGAAAATGCTAAACTATATGTTCAATATCACCCCAAGTACTGAAATATAAACTGATATTAAAATTGGACTCCTGAGGGATTAGAAGCCTGGCTCAGGTGGTACAGTTCTAGCTGATGAGCAAAAGCATCAGATACTGAGTTTGAGTCTTGGTCTCGGATAAAAAAAAAAATTGAACTCCTGAAAACTGTGTGTTATTTTGGCAGTACTGGGATTGGAACCCAGAATCAGGGGAATGCCAGGCAAGCACTCTACCATGAAGCCACCCCCCTAGCCCCTAGCAAATCATTTTGAAATACAGAAGGCGTGAGTTAGGTCATGGCTGGATTCAAGTGAGGACCTCACATAGTGCATCACTGTCCACAGTTCCCACTTCTCACGCGAGAACATGTTGATCTGATACCAGAAAGAGAGCGTGAGAGAGACTGAAGTGAATAGGATCCCACTGCAGAGAGGTGAGGGAGGAAGGCACAGGGCTGGGGGCACCAGGGACCGTGTCCACTGCCCAAGAGGTGGTGGTGAAAATGTGGGAGGAGGGGTTGAAGCAATGTTTGGAGGCGAAATGTCTCAGAGAGGGAATGAAGTAAACCAACTTAGAATGAAGAATGGAGAAGGTGGTTTTGTTTTGCTTCAGGGGAGAATGAGGAAGGAAAGAAATTAGAGAGGAAGCAAAATGAAGAAGGGACGTGGGTACCCTACACCTTTCATTCATTCACTCATTAGGAAACATTTCCTGTCCTCTAAACTGATAGAAGAAAGGCACTGAAGGTAGGAACTGGGGCTGGCATGTCATAGTCATGTTGCCACCCACAGGGTAAGCAGCCCCTGGAGAGTGTGGGGCTCTAAGCATGGGTGATGATTTGGGAAGATGGCTGGGCACAATGGACAGCTGTTTCCTGGAGTGTGTTATCTTTGTTTTGTAAACCTGTCCAAGATGTAATGTACTTACAAAGTGATTTGTTGAAGCGAAACAAACAAACCCCCCCATAAGCTCTTACTGAGCCAGCACCACGGGCAGGTAGGAAGAAGTAGAGAAGGAATCAGCATTGAAAAGCGCTGTCAGTAAGAAAACTGCAGGTGCTCCTCAGAGCTGCACTGGGTTCTCCTTAGAGCTCGTGGTCCGAGCCACAGCCCTGTGAAATGGACCCAACCAAGGCTCAGACAGATGAGTCACTTGTAACTCACCCAGGGCCACACCACAGTGAACAGATCGGCCAGGGATGAATGGCAGGGCAGAGAAGGCTCTGTTGGGTCCTGGTGAGTTGGAAACCATGCAATCCATATGCACAAGAATCTGGGGCACACACGGGACCCAGGTTTGGTGACCTCAGTGAAGCCCCGAGATCTGGAGGAGGTGGAGGTGGGCAGCCACTGCAAGTGGGGGGTAGGTGTGTGTGTGTGTGGGGAATGGGACTATGAGCAGGAGCTGTGTGTGAGGACCTGGTCTGGATGCAGACTCCCCACATCGCTCCATGTGCAGGCTGGGATATGACTATGGACCCCCGGATGATAAGCAAATACTGATTTTCCTAATGCTGTGCCCAGAGCTCTGGAATAGACAAATGGACCACACACACACACACACACACACACACACACAGAGGCAGCTGTGAGGGAAGATGAATTAGTAGGTTGCTAAGACATATTCAGTACCTAAGACATAGCAAGGAGACATTTTACTAGCATTAATGGAGGGCTGAAGAAACACTAGCTATTTCATCACACACAAGACAGCATTTAGGTGTACTGCTATTAGGATGTCTATTTTATGGTCAAAGAAATAGGTGTCTGCAGAAGTTAAGCATTCATCCCTAATATCATAAAGACGATGGGGGTTAGAGTCTGGATTGGGAGCCAGGACTTGCTAAGCAGGCACTGTACCACTCGAGTCATGTCCCCAGCCTTTATTTTTTCAGGTCAGGTCTTATTTTTCTCCCTAGGCTGGACTTGGATCTTGATGCTCCTATGTACCTCCCTTTTACAGCCACACACTCCCCCCACCCCAGCTGGGATGACAGCTGCTGACGTTGGATGTTACTTAACTTCAGTGAGTCTGTTCCACTCCGGAGTGAAACCGGCCTCACTCATGTCTGTGGTTTGCTGTGCAGGCAGCACGTGTCATAGTCTTGTAACGCCACAGGCCCCCAAGCTAGGAACGATCCAGATAAATGCAAAACAACTGGAGAGGGAGCGGGGTGTAGGGGCCAGAGGCTGGGTCTGTGGTGCTGGCCTTTTGCTACAGTGTAAAGGCATTGCCCAGGCTGAATTCCAGCAGCCAGAGTGGAGCCTAGGTAACTCCTGGAAGGTTCTAGAAAGTGACAGAATCCAGTCTCCCACCCTGGGTCACCACTCATGGAATACAGAGCCAGATACCCCACCCGGCTCCACCCTCCTGCTAGGGGTGGATTTCTCCTGGGGGCCACACAACAAGGTCTCCTGGTCCCCAAAACTTGCCCCAGTCATGTTAAGCTCCCCTCTACCTCTTCCACCTCCCTCTCCCTGTCCCCCACGTGTTCCGCCCCTGCACACCCCGCTCACCCCAGGACAGGCATTTGTGGGAGGGTCACTGTTTAAAAATAGCCCCGTCCTTGAATTCAGTATCATCAGCCTCCAGATAGCGGCCAGGACTGACTGACTGCGTGGGATGGGGTGGTGGTTTGGGGGCAGACGCTGGCAGATTGCAGAGGAGCTGTGGCAGAGGTCCCCTGCGTCCTCCCTGCTCGGCTTGGCTGGTGGCTTGGCTGTCCTTCCCTGCCTCTTCCCACTCTCCCCCCCACCCCAACTCCAGCTGACTCACTTGCTTCAAAGCTGATCACCCCCTTAGAGACCGGCTGAGTCATCTCCACTGTGAAGTGACAGTGAACAGCAGGCATGGAGCACAGGTCCAGCATCAGCCCAGACCTCCAGAGCCATGCCAAGTAGAAAGCGCTTTCCACAGCAGAACACCTGGTTTACCCAGCTTCCCTGGGTGCACCTACCTCCACGCTGGGAGCCTAGGCCCTGCCTGCCAGCTGCTGCTGTAGCATTAGTGGCTCTGACCTTGCCCAGCCGGTTGCCATGTGCTTGGACCTGCGGTGAGCCTACATACAAGAACTCAGCCCTCACTTTTCCACATCTGTTCCTTCTCTCCACCCGCCTCTGGCCCCAGCTGGGCCCAGGTAGGTACATGAGATGCCATGAAGGCTGGCAGGGAGCTGAGCAGGGGCAGCTGAGAATTCTGCAGCAGCCACAACCCCCTGCCCCCAACACACACCTCCCCGGCCTCTCCTCACTGCATACATTGGGAAATGGCAACGTTGTTCACCCTGGAGTAAAGTTTGGGTGGAACACGACAAAGAGTATAAACAAAACTCTGTTGCCTGTCTGATCACTGTCAGCTCTGCCTTCCCTGCCCAAACCTGGCAGGTCCAGACCTGCTTCCCCTGGAAGGGCACCACAATACTGGCTTCAGAAAGCCCAGCATTCTGACTCTTTAAGTTCTTTGAGGGTATCATTTCTGACTCCCCAAGAGGCTTGTGCCGAGGAGAGTGCCTCCAATGATCAGTACCCTTCTCCCCCCCCCCCAAACAGCCTGGCTCTGGAGGGGGCATCTATCCATCATCCATCCAGCCACCTTTCCTTCCTTCCATTTATCTATCTATCTACCTACCTATCTATCTCTATCATCCATCCATCTATCCATCTCCATCCATGCACCTATCATTCATTTATCAAATCAACCACGCATCGTCCATTCATTTATCTGTTGTCTATGCATCCATTCATCATCTGTCCATCGCTCATCAACCATCCATCCATCCACCCATCCATCCACCAACCATTAAGTATCCATACTCCATCCAGGCATCCAGCACATATACTAGATGCCAACAATGTGCCAGCACAATGTAGATCGGAATCTGCATATATTACTACCTCCATGGGACTTTTGTGCTGGGGGATTCATCAGTGGGCCCCAGGAAATGATTTCTATTAAAACCAAATGACTAGCAATTATGCATTTTACAAAACATCATTATAGCTCAGTGCATTCCTGAGGCAAAAACCTAGTTAGTGGCAGGCAGGCTGAGACTAGAGCCGAGATCTGTCCAACTCTATTCACTGGTTCTCCTGGTGCTGCAGCTTGTTGCCAGGAAACATAGTTATGATTTAGGAAGAGGGAGGGGTCGTTTTCTGCTCCAGGAAATGAACATCTTTTCCTGATGAGGCCCTTTGGTCCCTCCAGCCCCATGCCCTTGCCCATAGGGCTGCAGTACTCAGTCCTCCAGGAGGGCTTCGGTTTCTGACGGGCCCTGTGGGTTTGGCACAGCAGCATCCTCCTACTGAGCTGGCTGTAGCCCTGCCTTGCCTGGCACTGGCGGCCCTTAAGGATCCCCCTGTGGGGGCCCCAGCTCCTGGGCAAGTGAGGAAGTCCTTCCTTCCTTGCCAATGTGCCCAGAGAGTTTCTGCAGCATGGAGTTTGGGGCTAAAGCCTGCAGCTGCTAGATTCTAAGCCTCCACCTCGCACCCCCTGCTTCCACTCCTCCCCACAAACCCCACATAGATCTGGGGCAGAGGGTTCAGGTCACTTACGGCGGTGCTGGGCAGCGCCCGGCTCCAGGACCTGCAGGAGCTGGCTCGGGACCTGGACTTCTCTTGTCTTCTTGGAGCGACCGTTTCACCAGGCCAGACTTTGTGGAGAGGCCACTTCCCTCTGCTTTCTCTCCACTCCCGTGGTGCACAGACTTGGGAAAATTGCAAAAGAGGCTGGGCAGGGTGACCTCAGCTGTGTGGGTGGAGGAGGTGGGGAGAAATGGGAAAGCCAGGCCCCCAGCTGCCTGGACTTGGGGCTCCTTGAGAATGCGTTTGGAGGGATTCTGGTCCCTGGGGATGGGGGAATGGAACACCTCAGGGTGGCGGTGGGGGACTTGTGGTCCCAGGGCCTGTGGGGCTGATATGCCCTGTTTGTGGGTTCCCCAAGGAACCCCTGGCTGGTTTTAGAAACTTCTATCATTGCTGCTGGAAGCAACCCAATATAGGGACCTGTGGATCTGTCGGTTCTCATAAGCGAGGGTTGTGGATTTGATCTGGAGGAAAGAGGGCCTGTTCCTACTCCTTACCCTCACCTCACTCACACACACACACACACACACACACACACACACACACAGTATGTACACCCCCACGCCACAACACACACATACGCCACACCCTCCACACAATACACATACACCACAGACATCCCAAACCCCAATACCAGTACACCACATATTCCCAACCCACCCCAGGCAGTAAACAGACACCACACACTCACAACAACAACACAAACGCACACACTCATCGTGCACACATATCACACGAATAAACCCACATCACACCGTACCAGGCTTGTAGATATGTGACATGTCCTGACACCTCCCAGGTGAGGGTGTGTATCCTGCCTGGAAGACAGTAGAGACAGCTGTCATTTAAATGCTGCTTACATGCCATGATGTGGGTCTTACAAAGACCTGGAACCGCACCTAGGATTGCTATGATTGCCAGCTGAAAGGGGAACACGACGAATTTAGACATGGCTGCCAGATGTGGTCACAGCTCTCAAGGGATCCCCTTACGGTGTATAATACATTCCTCCTCAGATGGGGTTTTTGTCTCCTGGCCAGTCCATTCCATTTTTAATAATCCCCCATCAGAAAGTTCTTCCTTGGGCTCAGGAGCACCTGGGAAGATGCCTTGCTGCTGCTGTGCCTGTCCTCAGAGTGCAGAACCTCGAATCCCACATTTGGCCACTCACAGTGCCAGGTATGGGCCCTGCTAAGGAATTTTTGGTGGAACAAACGTTGAAATTCCTTTCTTTCTCTCTCTCCCTCCTTCCTTCCTTCCTTGCTTCCTTCTTTCCTTCCTTCCTTCCTCCCTTCCTTTCTTTCTCTTTGTTTTCCTTCCTTCCTTCCTTTCTTTCTTTCTTTCTTCCTTCCTTCCTTATTCCTTCCTTCTTTTTTGGGTATTAACTAGCAAGCATGCCTATAGGGAAGATATAATGATTTCCATTATGGAAGGAAAGTTCCAGAGACTGTTTACCCAAAACCTTCTATTTTAAGGGTGGACACTACCCTCAGGACAAACACAAATTCCTGAGCAGTGATTTGTTCTTAAACTGTTGTCCTTTAGAAACCCCTTTAGAAGCCAGTGCCATGCTTGTAATCCTGGCTACTGGAGGCTGAGATCAGGACAATGGAAGTTCAAAGCCAGCACCAAATCCACAAGACCCTCAGCTCCACAGAAAACGCTAGATACGGTGGCATGAGCCTATGAACCCGCTATGATGGGAAGTGGAAATAAGAGGACAATGGTCCAGGCCTGAGCAGAAAATAAGACTAGTTCAAAAATAACCAGACCAAAAAAGAGTGGTGTGTGTGGCTCAAATGATAAAGTGCTTGCCTAGATCATGCGTATTCAAGGTTTTGCTTTTTTTTTTGAGACAGAGCGAGCGAGTGAGCGAGAGAGAGAGAGAGAGAGAGAGAGAGCCCTTAAGCAAGGTATAGTGACACACCCCAGCGACTTCCAATTCCATGTGTGAAAGTCCCACAGCTGTGGGAGTGCTTTGGGGCTGGGGAGTGAGCTGTGGCTGCTTTTCCCTGGGGAGGGGTAGGGAGGGGCAGAAACCAAGCACAGGTCTTTTAGGGAACTCTCCCAACACCTTGGGAAGCTCAGCCACCAGCCACAGCCAGGTCCAGTCCCCACTTCCTCCAACCACAGGGGATCAAAGTCAGCAACTTCCCTTCCCTCCTCTAACACACAAGCAGCAGGTACATGGGGGGGGGGTGACAGCCCCTACCCCGGGGATGGGGGAGGACACAGATGCCTCCTTCCCCTCCCCCCAACAACCTGAATAGATGTGACTCTTTGGGGGATACAGTGAAAATAATAACACATGGAACAAATAAAGCCATGTATGGGGAGGGACTTAAAGGGGGAAAACATTAGTTCTTTTGGGGGAGGGGGGCGACAAAGTGGGCTTTGGAGGAAGAAGGAAGTTGAACTGAAGTTCTGACCTTCAGCTGCAGAAATGCCCTTGGAGGAGGCAGTAGCTCCCATTGGTGTTGAGCAGAGGAGAGCAGGAAGGGCTCCACTTCCAGACCTGGCTGTCCACCTTCAAGGGCAAACCTGGGATGGAGAGTTCCATTTTGTTTCTAGCACTGTGTTGAACCTGTTTTCATTGTCAACTTTTTATTTTTAATTTTTTATTATATATATTTATCTATCTTTTATCTGTTGTGGGACTTGAACTCGGCCTGGGCACTGTTGCTGAACCCTTCAGCTCAAGGCTAGCACTCCACCACTTGAGCCATAATGCCACTTCTGGTTTTCTGGTGGTCTCTGGTTCATTGGAGATAAGAGTCTCACGGACATTCCTGCCTGGGCTGGCTTTGAACTGTGATCCTTAGATCTCAGCCTCCTGAGTAGCTAGAAGTACAGGCATGAGCCTTGGCACCCAGCTGCCTTGTCACCTTAATGCTCCTGGAGGGTGCAAACAGGGCGGAAGAGTTTCTGAGAACAAAGCATGCAAATGGGATAATGGGGAGGACTCAGTTTTTTCAGGTGGTCCTGACGTGTGTGTATGTGTGTGTGTGTGTGTGTGTGTGTGTGTGTAAACTGAGGCCAGACCATAGAGAATCTGGGAAGTCCTATTGTCTGGGACGTCCTTGTTGTAAATGCAGGAAGAGGGGACAGGGGATAACTGGGATATGAGCCAGATTTTAGAGATGTTCATTAACCAGGTACGGGTATGCTGAGGGGAGGGGAGAGAGGGAGGTCAGATCAGGGCATGAGTCAAGATGCAGGAGCAAAAGTCCAGGGGAGAGTCCTGCCCAGGGCAATGAGGACAATGGGGACAAGGGACCAGGCTGCAAAGCTATTGAGAGGACCAGTGAGTCACCACCCTGTTTGGTCATTTAGCAGAGGTGATTGTGTGGCCTGCACATCACTTTTATCCTGTAAGCCTTCTCTTCTCAGGCTCCTGGATGGACAGTCCCCGGCCAGCACATTATGGACCAAAACTGACCCTACAGAGAACAGCTGGTCCCACATAGGGTGCCTTGATCTAGAGGAAAAAGTCTTTTTTATTCAAGGGCCCCTGCCTTTATGGTATTTGCTCAGCTGAGAGTCAGCTTGCTGATGACCGCAGGCACTCAGCAGTTAAATGTTCACAGACACACACGGTGTGACCCCAGAAGCACTTCCTGTAACCATGCCCATTCAACAGCCAGGCAAACGGGTGCTAGGAATCAAGTCTGGGCCAGTCTGGCTCCAGAGCCTGTGTGGTTAGTAGCTCTGTGATCCTGCTTTGCTAGCTGGTTCGGATCAGGCTGTTCTCAACCCACTCTGAAAACAACAACACAACCCAAACCCCCAAAAACATATAACTGTAAAGAGAAAAAGAAAAAAAATGTATGTATGTGTGGAGCTGCGATGCACTCTGAGCAGGGTCTGTGAAGGGGAGACGAAGCTGAGTGGTGCTACTGCCCCCTGCCAGACTTCACCAACTCTTCCCAAAGACTCTGAGAGAGGAGCGGTCCAGAGACATGAATCCATCACCCATGGTCACCTGGTGATGACGGTGGGAGCTTCAGCTTCAAATTCAGATTAGCTCTCTACCTGACCTTCAGCCTGGGGTGTGTTCCATGACCCCTGCGGTCAGGGGCAGGCTGACCCAGTCACCTTGCCTATCTTCCAGGGTCCCATTCAGTGCCTGGTATAAAACAATTATGAATTGTGTCAGGTTGAACTTAAGTCCCAGTGAATCTATGCGTTGAGAGAGAGTCAGATAAATGAATACACACTGTGTAAATATTAGAAGAATCAGCTAGCTGCCTGATAAGGAATCAATCTACTTTTAAATGAAAAAAATAAAAAGCAGTTTCGAGAAGTAGATATGGCACATAAATGATTCTTTGTCCCTCCTTGAGCACTGGGGATTGAACTACCAGGCAGGTGCTCTGCCACTTGAGCCAAACTTCCAGCTCCTTCCAGCTTCAGTTACCATCCCTGGGCTTTCCGACGCTGTTGGGGATGACAGGCAGGTAGGCGGCAGCCATTGTGCCTACTGTAGCTGGGGTAACAGGCTCGAGCCACCACACCCATGTGCTTGCTGGTCCAGATGGAATCTTGTGAACTTTTCTCCCCAGGTTGACCTCAAACTGCAATCCTCCAAACTCCGCCTCCTGTGTCATTAGGATCACAGGCATGAGCCACTGTGCCCAGTAAGAGAAAGAGAAAGGTTTCTTACCAATAACACGCTCTCTCTCTCTCTATTTGTACAAAGAAAAAAAGTGTTGTTGTTGGTTTTTTTTTTTTAATGAAAACCACTTCAAATGGACCTTCGTGTTCTCTGAGGTGAGAGTTATGGAGCGCTTGCACATAATTTATTAATAAGAATGAAATTGAAGATTCTTCCTTTTAAAAGGAAGCAAAAACTAAAGTGAGGAAGAGAAAAACAAGTCCTTTCTTATGACAACTGAATGAGGATGTGATTTAGAGCAGAATTCTCCATAGTGGGTCCCTGGGGATGAGCCCTGGTGTGTTTTTCTCGCCTTCTCTCCCTCCCCTCCCCCTCCTTCCTGCCCCCCCTCCTACATACTATGAGGTATGTTTATTTATAGCAAACACATGAGTATGCTGAAGGAACCAAGACTCCTCGGGACCATGGCAGTGCCACATATGGGATTGGAAGTGTGAAAGATGGGCCAGAAAAGTCTACAGGAAGTAACTTGAGGGCCATCCACTGGTTAGAGATGGGGTAGTATGAGCATGAAAAGTAACTGTGATAAGTTGAAACACATCAAAATATTGGCATCTGCTCTTGTACCAGCTCATCACCTGGTGAGCAGATGATTGATGAAGGAAGGTGTTTTTTTTTTTAAGTTAAAAAAATTTTTAAATAGAGTTCCACCCAACCAATGCTTGGAAATAATGGAATCGTCTGAGTGATCAGTGCTGCTGAGCGGAACTTCGTAGCAGATGGTGAAACCCACTCATCAAGCTTAACACTAGCCATGGAGGGGCGCCAGCCTCGTCTGCCTGATGGGCTTCACCCGTGAAATGTTTTGTTGCCATAGCAGCCAGCCTGAGGTCTAACTACCATCTTACAAAGAGATGAGCTCAGAGACCCAGGCCCACGACACATCTGGATCCCAACCAGCAAAATTCAGATTCCAATCCGAGACATTTTCAAAGCAATGCTGGTTATGGATCTTGGTTCAATCCTGATGCAGACAAGCCAGCTGTGAAACACGAGAGCACATGCACCAGACAACGGGAGAATCCCTGAATGCTGACTGCAGATTTATGAATAAAATGATAGGGTGCGTGGACTCTGCTTCAAAACAATGCCGGTCTGTGGTGGATGTCAGGGTAGATACAAATAGGGCCTGGCCATGGGTGGATGGGTCAGAGAAAGCTGAGTGGGGTACAGAGGGATTTACTGTGCTATAACTTTTCCTTCAGTAGGTTGGGAGATTCCCACAATGAAAAGCCAACATAAAGGGAGGAAATACACAGAGAAGTTAATTTGCTGTATTGGCAGTGGTGGAGGTGGTATGTACGTGTGATGTATGTGGCAAGCTGTGTGTGTGTGTGTGTGTGTGTGTGTAGTGTGTGTGTGTATGCCCTGTTCAGTCCTAATTCAAGTTGCATTGATTATATTTTATAGGATCATTTTCTGAAAGGTATAAAGAAAGCCCCCCCTAACAGGCCCCAGGGGTGTTGGGGAGCCGGATACAAGCACTTAGCCCTTCTTAGGGCACCGCGGGGGCCAGCCCCACTTGGTTATTCCCGCGATCAAAGATGGCATAGAATTGTCGAATGAAGACGTCCCCCAGGATCCACAGAGGCCCGGATGGAGGCTGGATGTCAAGTCCTTGAAAGCCACTGCCACAGAACTGCATCCCATCCACGTAGTCCTGGGGTGGGAAAGAAGTATGTCAGTGACTGACACCCAGCGGGGGAGGTGACACTGCCTGGGGGCTGTCCTGGGAGGGTGGTGGCAGGACTGTGTGGCCTCGAAGCTGCTGGGCTCCACCATCTTGGCTGGAAGATCCTTCCTCTCGCCTCACACATCCTTACTCCTCTTTCTCAGTGAGGTGTTTACACAAGTTCATGCACCTATGTTCTACAATCCTGAGAACTGTTCATGGGTGACACAGCCCCACCATACCGTCATTTACCATAGAACACTTGACATTGTACTGCAAGACTGGAAGAGCAAAAAGCTTGGTGCTACAATGGTTCCAATCCTGTTTCCCTTCGCTTCTAGCAAAGCCCAGCTTAAGATGTGTACATGTGCATGCACACACCAGTTCTGGCCTAGAACTGAGGGCCTGAGCACTGTCCCTGGGCCTTTTAGCTAGCATGCCACCACTCAAGCCACAGATCTACGCCATCTTATTTGCTGGTTAATTGGAGATAAGAGTCTCACAGACTTTCCTTTCTGGGCTGGCTTTGAATCAGACCTCAGAGTAGCTAGAATGACAGGTGTGAGCCACTGGTACTCAGCTCAGCTTCATTTTTCTAAGAGAGAGGAATTGCTCCATGCATGGCTAGTCACTGATCTTTTTTTTTTTTTTTCTGTCGGTCGTGGGGCTTGAACTCTGGGCCTGGGTGCTGTCCCTCAGCTCTTCAGCTCAAGGTGAGCTCTCTACCACTTAAGCCACAGCACCACTTCCGGTTTTCTGGTGGTTTATCGGAGATAAGAGTCTCACGGACTTTCCTGCCTGGTTTTGAACTGCAATCCTCAGATCTCAGTCTTCTGAGTAGCTAGGATTATAGGTGTGAGCCACCGGCACCCAGCTAGGCACGGCTCTTTTCTTGCTGATGTTCTGGGGAGAATTTTTTGCGTGAATCCATTTAGGTACCAGGCAAGAAGGCATTTATCGTTCTGCAAACAGAGTGTAACCTCTCTCAATTCTATTTTTTTAGTTTGCCGGAGACTTGGGGTCTAACCAGGCATGAGTGGTCTTTCCAACAACCACCTGACACGTGAGGTTGCTAGGAGCTGTTGGGAAAGCCCGCAGGGCTCCAGGAGCCTCCACGAGAAGGAGATACAAGGCCAAAGAGGCTGCAGCATCTTAGAGGGCGTGCGGAGGCTTTGATTGAAACCTGCTGGCAGGTGAGGACCATGGTCCACACTGGCTGTGAGGAGGGGTGTGCACACGCAGGAACCCTGCTAGGGGAAAGTGCCACACTGGCATGGTAACGGACGGAGAGACTCATGAACAGGCTCCATTGCAACATCTGTAAAACCATACCACAAAACTTCCTTCAATGGCTCGCCTGAGATTCCCAGTGGAATGTCCACGCTAGGGGCCCGTGTCTCCTTCAGGCAAGTGAGGGCAGCTGTTAGAAAAAGGAAGTGGGGCCCGCGTGGGAAGGGCCCTGTAATGGGCAGAGTAAGGGAACAGCTCTTACTGGCAGGGTGTAGGCAGTTGGGCTGAGGGTGTAGGTGGCGCCGTTGATGATGAAGGTGACATCGGGCATGACACTGAGGTTGTCACAGTCCACAGCATACTAAAAAACACAACATGGGATCCTCTCAGAGGCTGCCTTCTCTGGCTCCTAGCCGCTCCCTACCCAGGGGACACTCACTTCTCCATCCGTGGGCGTGGCCCCAATGGCCTCCTGCAGACGCTTGATCTCGTGGGAGGGGCCAGTGACCAGGGACGTCCCCGTGTCCACAATGGCCTGGCAGCCCTCTGCGCAGAACATCACGCTGTCTCCCACCTGGATTCTGGGGGTAGAGGGGTCACTGCCAGCCAGCCTTCTCTGGGTCCCCCGTGACTTCCGCTTCCTGTGCTCTCTAGCACCCCAGAACTCAGTGGAGATGTCCTTTTACATCTCTCCCATCGTGGGACTATTTGTGAACTTTTTTGTTGTTGTTGGTTGTGGGGCTTGAACTCTGGGCCTGGGCGCTGTCCCTCAGCTCTTCAGCTCAAGGCAAGCGCTTTGCCACTTGAGCCACAGCACCACTTCCTCTGTGAACTTTTTTAAAACTGAGATTCATAGTAAGAAATACACTGACATTGTGTGTGTGTGTGTGTGTGTGCACGTATGCGCACACGTGCACGTGCCAGGACTAGGGCTTGAACTCAGGATACTGTCCCTGAGCTGTTTTGCTCAAGGTTAGCACTTTACCACTGAGCCACCACTCCATTTCTGGCTTTTTGGTGGGTAATTGGAGATAAGAGTCTCATAGACTTTCCATGCCCAGGCTGGCTTCAAACTGTGGTCCTTAGATCTCACCCACTTGAGTAGCTAGGACTACAGGCATGAGCCAACGATGTCTAGTTGCTTTTTTTTTTTTTTTAACAGAATCTCAATCTTTTGCCAAGTTTGAGCTTGAACTTATGGTTTTCCCCATCAGCATCCTGAGTAGGTGGGATTACAAGTATGTACCTCCCACCTAGCTTGTACCTTATTCTTGACCCAAACACACACACACACACACACACACACACACACACGCGCACACACACACACAATTGAAGTGCACTCTACTTTTATTGTATTCTATGTCATTAAAAATAAAAAGTAGGTCAAAGCCAGGTACCAGTAGTTCACACTTATAATGCTAACTGCTCAAGAGGCTTAGACCTAGAACATCAAGGTTCAAACCCAGGCTGGGCACAAAAGTCCACAAGACATGATCTCTAATCAGCCAGCGAAAAAGTTGGGCTGTAGGCATGGCTCAGTGGTGGAGTGCCAGCTGTGAGCAAGGAAGTGGAGTGGGAGCGGGTGTCCCCCTAGCTCCAGCCCTGGTATCCGAATTAAACAAATAATGTAGATCAGGATCTCAAGTGATGTCAGAACCTTTAGTAGGGAAATCTGTGCAGTCTGAGAAGTCCTAAAATGACAGTGAGCAGTGGGTCCTTTTAACATTTTATCCTGAACATCTTAGGAACTGAACCTTTAATTACTTCTCTCTGAATTCCCATGTTGCCTAACACGGTGCTAGGCATGTAAGAAGCACCAAGTTCCACATTCCCCAGACACTTCCATCAAGCTGCTGTGATCATGTCAAATCTGGATTTCAGAGCCCTGAAACCCGCAAGTCTCTCCAGATAAGGGGTCATTGTGCCCTGGCCATGGGGCCACTTTGTGGCTCCTCTCTTGGGGCACTGAGCACTTCTGTGGCAATCACAGCACGTTTCATCTTCTGTATAAGCTTAGGGAGGGCCAAGTTCAAGTCCAGGTCTCCCTTGCCTTTCAGTTCCTCAGCCCTGGCCCTGTAAGTTCATTAGTGTTGATGGACAAAGGGCAGCAGGTTCAGGTATGATCTGGCCGTCGGTTGAAGCCCAGGTGTAGCACGTGGACAGAGGAGGAAGCTGCTTTGTGGCTTGGCTATTGCTGCCCTTCCTCACCTCTCCTTACCTCCAACCCACACAGCGAGTGCCCAGCGTCTGCTCCTAGAGACCCGCAGTGTCCCTCAGTCGGTGGAAGAGATACTCACCCGTCCAGGGCAATCTGCCAGTAACCTTGCTTGGTGACTGGGATCCAATTCAGGCTCCCAGAGAAGTGGGAGGGGTCGTAGCCTCCAAAAGTCAGCTCGCTGCCTGAGCCACCTTCTGGGTCACTGTGGGGAGAGACCAGTTATTAAAGAAAAGTCACTGGAAACACTGGGGAGCCTGGGCTAAGACCCTGTGCTAAGGACAATGTGCTAGGACATTGGGTGCTGAGCCCAGATACCTAGGTAGGCAGAAACACCCACTGGGCCTTGGCCACTAGGATTGGTTAAAAGTTGATTAGCAGAAACAGCTCTGCTCAGAGAATTGTGAATGTCCCCTGCTTCTGGGACATGGCTGTGGTCCCGTAGAACCAAGGCCAGGAACTTGAAGCATCCCCCAGAGATCTCTTTCTCCAAAGTGGCTGGCTCCCTGTGGCTGTGGTGGTGTGGAGTTTCCGGTCATCTACTCCTGTGTGTCTATGCTCATGTGACTGTGCTATGACTTTACTAGGATTTAAATATTGCTTCATTTTCACTGGCTTTGAGGCCTCAGATTCTATTCTGGTACCGACCAGGGAGTCTGGAGAAACAAGACATAAAATAGATTCATTTTCAGGAAGATCAGGAAAACAGAGAACTCACCTGTACTGCAGGGCGGTGGGAATGGGGGATGAATGGAACATCTGCAGGGATATTAGGCTGTGTGTGATTGGGGTGTCGTTTTGGGCTGGATAGCTTACTAGCAGTCACAAGATCATAGGTGTTTGCTTTTGTTGTTGTTTTCTTTTTCTGTGCTGGTCCTGGGGCTTGAACTCAGGGCTTGGCACTGTCCCTGGGTTTCTTTTGCTTAAGGCTAACACTTTACTACTTGAGCCACAAGCACCACTTCCAGCTTTTTCTGAGTAGTTTATTGGAGATAAGAGTCTCATGGACTTTTCTGCCTGGACAGGCTTCAAATCACAATCCTTAGATCTCAGCTTCCTGAGTAACTAGGATTATAGGCATGAGCCACCAGTGCCTGGCAAGGTCATAGGCTTATCCCTAGCACTGCAAAAAATGAGAGAGAGAAAAGGAGAGGAGAGGAGAAGAGAGGAGAAGAGGGGAGGGGAGGAGACAGAAGAGGAGGAAAGAGGAGAGAGGAGAGATAGAGGAGGAGGGGAAGGAAGGGAGAAGAGAATAAGAAAGAAAGGAAGAAGAGGAGGAGGAAGAGAGGAAGGAGAATAGAAAAGGAAGATGAGATTAATTGGAGGAGAAGAAGGAGAAAGAGAAAGAGAAAGAGAGAGGAGGAGAGGGAGAGAGAGGAGAGGAGGAGGATCTAACACTACTTGATGTCCTTTGTATAAGGAATTGAACCTAATCTTATTTAACTTTCATGTCAACCTAGCACTCATTTGGGGGAAACTGAGGCCCAGGGAGATGAAGCGATGTAGGAAGGGAGGACTTCAATCCAGGCTAGTCTGACAGCAGTGCTCTTGCCTGGCCTACTTCTCAAGCTGGAAGGGAGTAGGAGGTCCTTCAAGGGTGAGGCAGTGTTCAGGCAGCCTCCCTCTCTGTCCACCCAGGCTTGGCTCTGTGGCGGCCAGGCTGGGACGAAGCACAGCTTAAGAGAGGGAGTCAGGACCCGCTGTGCAGAGGGAATGGGAGAGTGGGCTTACACAGGAACAGGGAGATCTCAGGAAAGGCAAGCGATCCTCTTCCTGTGTAGGGAGGAAGTTGAAGCCACTGTCCAAGGACCCCAGGCAAGATACCCGGGGCGGGGGGGGGGGGCTGCCTTTGTGACCTTCTCAACTACAACATATCATTTAAGAAATTGTGGCGAAACATGCATAGCACAAAACTATATTATAGCAGTTTTCGAGTGTACAGTTTAGGAGTGTTTACAGAATGTTTTCTACTTGCAGAACCAAGACTGTATCCATTAAATGAGGCCTCCTTTTCCTGGCCTATCTAGCCCTGCCTAGCCCCGGTGTGCTTTCTGTCTCTATGAGTGTGACGGCTCTAGGCTCCTCATGCAAGTGGAAACAGTGCTTGTTTTTCTGTGGAGTCTGTTTGACTTAGTACAATATCCTCAAGTGTAATGCATGTTTCAGGGTCAGAATTTTCCTTCCTTTTCAAGACTGCGTAATATTCCCTTGTATGGCTAAACCCACACTGTATGTTTCCATTGCTGGCATGAAATTATTTTATCATCAGCCCATTATGTAATGTTTTTTCCTGCTTCTCTCAACTGCAAAGACTCTCCTTGCTTCCACGTATCTAGTATCATGTTCAACATATAATAGGAGCTTGATATTTATTGAGTGCATAAGTTAATAGCCAATCCTAGAGACCCTCAACTCCAACTCTTTGTGAAGCAAACTCCAATTCCTCGAAACCCAGAGAGGTTCAGTGTTTTGCTCAAGACCACACAGCTGAGAGCAGGCCAGCCAAGAGAGTGGAGCCAGGTCTTTTGACTACTAGGTCTAGCACACCACATCTCCCTGTACCACCCCTGACCTTACCAGGTGGGCTTGACAGACCTTACCTGCTCATGTAGACAGAAAATATCGGCAGATCCACCAGGTTCTGTGCCATCATGTTGTCAAACACCGGGGTCACCCCTCCAGCAGCTAAGGATGGGTACCCCAGGCCCAGAATTCCATCAAACTCTGCGTTCACAAAGGTCTGGCCAGGCTCAGTGACGCTTTCTCCAAATTGCTGGCCAGCCACAGTCAGCCCTTCCACCTGAGGGAGAGAGCCACGGAGAGTTGGCAGAGGGCCTTGGACCCCTGGCTCCTCCCTCACAGCTGTCCTTGATTAATTAGGCCATATTCTCACCTGTTTCATTTCCTTATGTAATTAAAAACATAAGTTTTCATCCTTATTTATTTATTTTTACTAGTCCTAAGGCTTGAACCCCTGGGCACTGTCCATGGTTTTTTTTTTGGGGGGGGGCGTCTGGTCATGGGGCCTGAACTCTGGGCCGGGGCGCTGTCCCCCAGCTCTTCAGCTCAAGGCTAGCGTTCTACCACTTGAGCCACAGTGCCACTTCTGGCTTTTTCTTTTTTGCTTATGTGGTGCTGAGGAATCGAACCCAGGACTTCAGGCATGCAAGGCAAGCGCTCTACCACTGAGCCACCTTCCCAGCCCTGTCCATGGGTTTCTTTTGCTCAAGGCTAGTGCTCTATCACTTGAGCCACAGCACCACTTCTGGCTTTTTCTGTGTATGTGGTACTGAGGAATTGAGCCCAGGGCTTCATGCATACTAGGCAAGCACTCTATCACTCAGCCACATTTCCAGACCCTTCCTTATGTAATTAAAAGTTCTCTTTTCTTGCCTTATTGCATTGGCTAGGACCATCAAAACACGTTTCATAGAGAGAGAAAAAAATGAGCATTCTTATCTCATTCTTGATCTCAAGGTGATGTCTCTCAACTATTCATCATTGCTTGCTTTGGGTTTCTTTGTAGATATTCCTTTCTTCCTCTTTCCTCCGTCATCTTTCCCTTCCCTTCCCTTCCCTTCCCTTCCCTTCCTTCCTTCCTTCCTTCCTTCCTTCCTTCCTTCCTTCCTTCCTTCCTTCCTTCC